GCTTCGAGGCTTCGTCCGGGCTTCGAGGCTTCGTCCGGGCTTCGAGGCTTCGCCCGGGCTTCGCGGCTTCGCCCGGGCTTCGCGGCTTCGCCCGGGCTTCGCGGCTTCGAGAGGCTGTGCGCCGTCTTGCCTTTGTCTTTGCTTTGCGCCTTTTGCAGCTTTGCCTTTGTAAGCACTTTCGCAGCTTTGCCTTTGCTCTGCGCCTGCGCTCTCTACTCTCAGCTTTTGCTTCCAGTTTTACTTTCGGTTTTTGTTTTCGGCTTGAGCTTTTAATTTCTTTCTTGCTTTTAGCTGTTACTTTCAACTTTTGCTTTTGACTTTTACTTTTAGCTTTTACTTTTAACTTTTGCTTTTAGCTTTTGACTTTTACTTTTAGCTTTTGAGTTTTACTTTTAGCTTTTACTTTTAACTTTTGCTTTTAGCTTTTAGCTTTTAGCTTTTAGCTTTTAGCTTTTAGCTTTTAGCTTTTAGCTTTTAGCTTTTAGCTTTTAGCTTTTAGCTTTTAGCTTTTAGCTTTTAGCTTTTAGCTTTTAGCTTTTAGCTTTTAGCTTTTAGCTTTTAGCTTTTAGCTTTTAGCTTTTAGCTTTTAGCTTTTAGCTTTTAGCTTTTAGCTTTTAGCTTTTAGCTTTTAGCTTTTAGCTTTTAGCTTTTAGCTTTTAGCTTTTAGCTTTTAGCTTTTAGCTTTTAGCTTTTAGCTTTTAGCTTTTAGCTTTTAGCTTTTAGCTTTTAGCTTTTAGCTTTTAGCTTTTAGCTTTTAGCTTTTAGCTTTTAGCTTTTAGCTTTTAGCTTTTAGCTTTTAGCTTTTAGCTTTTAGCTTTTAGCTTTTAGCTTTTAGCTTTTAGCTTTTAGCTTTTAGCTTTTAGCTTTTAGCTTTTAGCTTTTAGCTTTTAGCTTTTAGCTTTTAGCTTTTAGCTTTTAGCTTTTAGCTTTTAGCTTTTAGCTTTTAGCTTTTAGCTTTTAGCTTTTAGCTTTTAGCTTTTAGCTTTTAGCTTTTAGCTTTTAGCTTTTAGCTTTTAGCTTTTAGCTTTTAGCTTTTAGCTTTTAGCTTTTAGCTTTTAGCTTTTAGCTTTTAGCTTTTAGCTTTTAGCTTTTAGCTTTTAGCTTTTAGCTTTTAGCTTTTAGCTTTTAGCTTTTAGCTTTTAGCTTTTAGCTTTTAGCTTTTAGCTTTTAGCTTTTAGCTTTTAGCTTTTAGCTTTTAGCTTTTAGCTTTTAGCTTTTAGCTTTTAGCTTTTAGCTTTTAGCTTTTAGCTTTTAGCTTTTAGCTTTTAGCTTTTAGCTTTTAGCTTTTAGCTTTTAGCTTTTAGCTTTTAGCTTTTAGCTTTTAGCTTTTAGCTTTTAGCTTTTAGCTTTTAGCTTTTAGCTTTTAGCTTTTAGCTTTTAGCTTTTAGCTTTTAGCTTTTAGCTTTTAGCTTTTAGCTTTTAGCTTTTAGC